TTTCAAATTTTGCTTGGTTGCTGAGAAAATTCATGTTTTCTAAATGATTTTCCCACTATCGTTTTAAACGTAGCAATCAGCGTACCAAATATACAGTAAAACAAGTCTTTGTGCGTTTAACAAAGCATTCAGCTACAGATCTTAATCTCTATTTCACTTCATTTACTGGTTGTGAGTGTAGGAAAGCCGTAGCTAGTGAAATGAATATGAAAGTCTTGCACATAATGTCAGGGGAAGAGAGATCATTCAATTGGTTTGTGGTCGTTTAACCGTTATTGCTGGCAAGAAGAATTCTTTGACAGATTTCTCTACATTTGGATGTTGATACCCACCTGAAGTGTTAGGGACGCATTTTATTAAATGTCTAAAGGGAGTTTCTATGGCCGTGGGAGCTTTTGATCTACCTAAGTGAGGATGAGAAGTTAAACTCGACCTTCTTGAAAGAATAATCGAAACTAGACCTTCTTGAAAGAATAATATGCAGCAAGATCTTGATAAAATAGCCAAACTCACAGCCTTTCATGACTTTCAAACAGGGAAAACCTCATAACATGTTCTGAAACTTATTTATTTATTCAGAAGTCAACTAACCATAAATGAGTATAATAGCAGTTCTTAGATATGATCGTAAGCCATACTTACTTAATGATCGATTTGGTCGTCTTTTTTCTACAATATAATCCCTTCGGAATGATAAAACATTCTGAACTTACAAATTTTATTCCACTGCAAATTTTCAGCTCAGCAAAATTCAGCTGCAAAATTTCAGCTCATTCCGATTAATCGCGACTTCGAAAAAACCGCGATTATAACGGGGGAAACCGCATTCTGCTGGTGATTTACGTACAACCTTCATTACTCAATGCACGCAGTTGATCGCAGCTCAATACCAAATACGTGATTCTTGCTAATCAAATCACTAGCAACTACGTGCGTTCGTTAACCAGTTTCCTAACAAAATGCGGTTTTGGATAAGAGGACCGCAATTTAGAAGGTTTTCTAGCGAAAAAACGCGTTTAGCCGGGGTTTTGAAACCCAAAAAGTCCTCATGGGCAACACCAGACCAATTAGCCTTCTACCATATTTAGAAAAACTGTATGAAAAGTGTTTCCTGATCTATCCAAGAAAATGAATGACAGATAATAACATTTTACATAGTGAACAGTCAGGATTTCGCACAGCACATTCGACCAACACTAGATTTACACAATTTATTCAAGATGTTAGCACATCAGTGCAACAGTACACCGCACGCTCGTTTTATACATTGATTTTTCAAAAGCATTTGACCAATTGTGGAGGCGTGATTTAATTTATCAATCGCACAAACTAAGATGTCCAAAAGAATTGCTATAATTCATTACTAAATATTTAGACTACAGAAAATGCCTAAGAGAAACAACGACCTGCTGTCCGATGTATCTGATGTAGACAGAGGCGTACCACGAGGAACTGCTTTAGGCTCGGTTTTGTTTCTACCATTCCACGCTGATATGCCGACAGAAATTCCATCATCACAACATACCCATATGTATGCAGATGATGTAGCATCAGTTATTGATGCATCACCATGGTGGAAAAGTACAGAAGTGATAACAAATATTCAAAAAATTGCACAACAAACAAACATTAAATAAAATGCAAAAATATTCATCCAGATGAAAACAACCACTACATAAAAATAGAATATCAATGGATTCACAAACGTATTACAATTTTATCAATTGTTTTATTAATAGATCAACATGAAATTGTAAGAACAAAATTATTCAAATATCTTGGTAATTATATTGATCAAAAATTGTCATTCAATGAACATGTTCAAAATATATTGACGAAAATAAAAACCAACACAACAGTGATAGCATAGGTAGCACAATCAAAAACGTCATCGTATCATGCGAGAATGTTAATCTTCAATGCTTATGTACTTCCATATTTCCAGCAGCTCTATTCTATTTATCCACTGTTACCTGATTCCACAAGAGACAAAATAAAAGTTATAAATAGTCAAGTATACAGGGTAATAAAACGAAGGTACGATGCCACG